TTTTTTTTTTTTTTTTTTTTTGCATCTGTCATAAGTAAATATGGGCTCAGAAAATATACTACATTTCAAAACTGTTGATTGCAACTAATTATGCATGCAAATTGCTACTTCAAGCATGCAGACAGCTTGCAACATTTTAAAAATTTTGCCCCAGTAGTCAGTTGAGGTATTTGTGTTACTATTTTGCTTTTGCCTTAAATGACTTCATTTCCCAATTAGCTTTCAATTAATGGCGGGTCTATGAACAATGGTGGGTCTATGATGCCCACAGTTTAGGTGATTCAAATGAGCAAACCAGCACTTTCAGGAAAATCACCCTTCTTATTGCTTATACCAGACCATTTGATTTTTGAGTCATTGAGATGAGCGTTTACACAAAGGTGTCCTGGAAGAGTCATCCAACTCAAAATATGGTGGATGGAACAACACATCACAACTCGTACTGTTAGACATACAGTCTCAGCCTCACCCCAGACTTAATTCATCAGAGTCTGCAGTTTAGCAAGAGCTGCAGGTGCCTCCTATCACATTCGAGTTTGAGAAGCACATAGCTGGCCTTTCTAGTATAATTATCTTTGGCACTGTTCTCCTAAAATACTACTCAGAAAGACTTACTAGGAAAATACAATCTTAGAAACTTTGTGTGAGTGTGAAGACATTGTAGTCCCTCTCCACTCTCCCCCCAGTATCTTAGTGTTGCAAAATGAAAAGTTACATAAATTAAGAACATATCTGTGTTGGAATCTCTGGTAATGAATTAGAAGCATACAGTTTTTGAAAATCAAATGGCAGCAACCTAAAAAGGGAACAGCGCTTTATCTTGAATAATAAGTTTTGTGCAGACATGTGAAAGTCCTTCCTTAAAAACTTGGTTATTCTTGACCTTCTACTTAGATTTGAAAATCCACAATTTCCACTCTGCTGGGATTTTTGATACCTTCTGTGACAATGCAAGCAAAACCGCCAAGTCTGTGTCTGTGCAATGACAGCCTAATAAATCTTCAATGATTTGGCATAAGTATGGGCTAAATTATATGACTCAATATTTTTAGGAACTAACAGAACCTATTACTCTTTTTTAAAAACATGTTTGGGTTTTTTAATTGATTTCAGAGAGAGAGGAAGGGAGAGGGAGAGATAGAAACGTCAACGATGAGAGTCATTCGCCGGCTGCCTCCTGCACGCCCCCTACTGGGGATCAAGCCCTCAACCCGGGCATGTGCCCCGAATGGAATCAAACTGTGACTTTCTGATTCACAGGTCGATGCTCAACCACTGAGCAACACCAGCCACACAGAACTTACTACTTTTAAAGAATTTCTTGAAAGCACATATACATAGATGAATAAATTATTTACTTTAAAAGGCTATCTAGTAGCAGTTCTCACCTTAAATGTGCATGAAATCACCTGGGGAATGTTGTGGGAATGCAGATTATGA